TGAAGACTAATATACTCTTAGCGGCATGTTTCAGAAGCGATAGGGAAGTCATCCAATCTGCCGATGCGGAGATACCCCGGAGGATTCGCTTATATGCTTACGCCGCGTAGAAGGGGCCCGGCTATCAGTGATCGTAAGAAATAACAACAGGCTTCCTACGGTCTGGCTGATGGTCGCAGGAAAATTTTGGCTGAACCTTTGATTCGCAATGACAATTGCACGCTTTCTCGGGTGGTGAGACTTGAGACTACCATCCCAGTCACTTAAACTGATTTCTTGGCCTCGAAGTGCCGATTATCGGACTTTCAAGGTCCGAGTTGAGCACTACGAGACAGTGAAATGAATTGATAACAGCCTAAGATTAGACTGAGTGCGATATGTATTACTGTAATCAGGAATTACGATGGACTTCGAGCTACGCAGGCAAAGTACATAGTTCGTGGTTGTTGACGTCAGAAAGGGAAAGCTGCCAACTGGCTCACATGACGTTGCCACACTGAGATCTCGATCTATGCACGTGACTTCGCGTTTCCTTGCATCGAGGGTCGTAACGAACCATAACTTGAGTGATTCTGATCTAGGCCGTGTGAATGGAGCATGATGGCGCACAGCAATGAATCACGCCTCGGATAATCACACTCAGCTCCCTCTGAAACGCAAACAGTGCCAAAATGTGGACATCACCGTATCAAGCGCGTCATCAGTAGCCGGCACTGATAGTACTGCCGACGATGCGTCTCGCACCTCCGCTCACGATGTTCACGACTCGCAAACAGTTGAGGGCGAACTTAAGCCTGCCAAGAAGAGGAAAGTTACAGGCAAGAAAGGGACTTCGTCTGGTACAAAGGTCAAAGCTCCAGAGAAGAGACTACCCTCCAAGCCTTGGCCTGAGGAAATCAAGCGTCTATCACAGACCCATCGTGCGCTGAATTTGGTCTACACCTTCTGTTGCACGCGTAAACACTTCATTACGACATTTGAAAATATCAAGAATGCGGTCCAGGCACAACTTGGTCAGGGTCGTGAGCTCACGATAGAGGATGTGGCTCGGGTGAAGGTCTTGGTGCCGTTAGCTGTGCGATTTGAATATGTCGACGAAGCTCGACTTGAGATCATGACAGTTGGGGATAGAGAAAGTGCCGACTATGGGTCTCGCGCTGGTGCGGGCATGATATCTGCTTCTGAGATCGCGAATTACACCGGTGATGACGACAATTTTGTTCGGAACGTTCTCCTTTTCGAGTTTGTGGATGGTGACTTGAAGCGCGAGGTCAGAAATCCAAAGACAGGGGAGCCATCAAAACCTTTTCGCCGAATGAGGGACGAGGATCTTAAGATGCCGGTCTTCAGTCAGAAACAGATGCTTGGTTTAATTGAGAAGAGAAACACCAAGTTTACCGATGCGATTGATGCTTTCCTTGTGCGCTGTGAAGATCAAGGGCTCGACCCGGTCCAAACGCTGGAGGAAGAGAAGGCTGCATTTATCCCGACGCCACCGGCGAGTGAGGTGAACACTCCTGCCTTCGCAGAGCCTCCCGCGACAATACCGAAAGAACGCGAAAGTATCGCAGAAATCATTGCTCAGATTCGTGAAATGGAGTGGTATCACGCTCAAATCGTGCCGGAAGGACACCGAGTCTTTGATGCTCAGTCACCGGTCTACGGAGATTTGTCGTTTCAGCTATCTCAGGAGCTTGTTGATGCGCTCTACAACACCAAGGGCATCACTCAGCTTTACTCCCATCAAGCCGAAGCGATCAATTACTTGTATGAGGGCCATGATGTGATTGTCTCAACCTCGACTAGCTCGGGGAAATCGCTCATTTACCAAATACCCATGCTTCACGAGCTACAGAAAGACCCTGACAGCCGTGGAATGTATATATTTCCTACAAAGGCTCTGGCACAGGACCAACGGCGCAGCATGACAGATCTGCTACAGTTCATGGATGGATTGCAGCAAACCATGGTGGAAACCTTCGACGGCGACACACCAATGGGGAGTCGGAATCTGATTCGTGATGAGGCTCGTATCATTTTCACTAATCCTGATATGCTACATATCACCATCCTTCCTCAGGAAAGCGCGTGGCGCACGTTCTTGAAGAACTTGAAATTCGTGGTGGTGGATGAGTTGCACGTCTACAACGGTCTATTCGGTTCGCATGTGGCCTACATCATGCGGCGACTTCGACGCATCTGTGCTGCAGTTGGCAACCGCCATGTCAAGTTCATATCATGCTCTGCAACGGTCGCAAATCCAGAGCAGCACATGGAATCCATCTTTGGGGTCCAGGACGTGAAGCTCGTAGATTTTGACGGCTCTCCATCTGGTCGCAAGGAGTTTATCTGCTGGAACACCCCCTTCAAAGATCCTGCTGACCCAAGCTCAGGACGCGGTGACAGCGTTGCTGAGACTGCTCGGTTGGTTTGTCAATTGATACTACGTGGTGTACGCGTGATTGCGTTCTGTCGCGTCAGGCGGCTTTGTGAAACACTCTTGCAGGCTGTTCGCAACGAGTTTCAAACCCTGGAAAGACCTGAAGTTGGCCAAATGGTCATGGGTTACCGAGGTGGGTACAGTCCACAGGATCGACGGCGCATCGAGAAAGAGATGTTTGACGGCAAATTGATGGGTATTGTGGCCACCAACGCATTGGAACTGGGCGTCGATATCGGCTCTCTGGATGCCGTGGTCACCCTTGGCTTTCCATACTCAATTTCCAATCTACGGCAGCAAAGTGGTCGCGCAGGTCGAAGAAACAAGGACTCTCTCTCTGTCCTGGTCGGTGATCGATACCCTACAGATCAGCATTACATGCAAAACCCGGATGAGATTTTCACGCGGCCAAACTGCGAGCTGCAGATTGACCTGACTAATGAGCTGATCCAAGAGGGCCATATTCAATGTGCAGCCTTTGAAATGCCTATCCGGCCAGATGAAGATCATGTTTACTTTGGTGAACAGCTCTTTGCCCTCGCAGCCACTCGGCTGATCAAAGATAGCATGGGCTTTTATCATTGTCATGACCGCTTTCGGCCTCAGCCATCCCGATGTGTGAACATCCGTGACACTGAAGACACGCATTTTGCCGTCATTGACACGACCAACAATCGCAATGTCGTTTTGGAGGAAGTTGAAGCCTCGCGCGCGTTCTTTACAATCTATGAAGGAGGTATTTTTCTTCATCAAGGTCAGACATTTATTGTCAAGGAACTCAACGTCGAGCGCCATCTTGCGCGGGTCTTGCGGGTGCATGTCGATTGGAGCACAATGCAGCGAGACTATACAGACATTGACCCTATCGAGACCGAAGCCATGCGTCTGGTTGGGAATGGTCCCGACGCCTGCCGCGCCTTCTTCGGTGCTGTGCAGATACATGCGGTTGTATACGGCTTCTTCAAGATCGACAAGCGCGGTCGGCTCCTTGACGCAGTGGCAGTTGACAACCCTCCCATCGATCTCTTCACCAAGGGCATGTGGCTGAACGTTCCAACACGTGCGATTGAGATTCTCGAGTCACGCAGACTCAACGTTGCAGCTGCTATTCACGCCGCCGAGCACGGAGTCCTCTCACTGCTTCCTTCTTTCGTGATCTCGTCACCGGGCGACGTCCGAACAGAGTGTAAGATTGCGCAAAAGGAGCTCGGCAAGGGACTTCGCCGCGCCAACGAGTCGGGCAAGTCTCGACAGGAGCTCGAGAAACAAATCCAACCGCCCTCGAGGCAACGTCCTGCCCGCTTGACTTTCTACGATGCAAAGGGTGGGTCTTGCGGGTCTGGGATTGCGAGCAAGGCTTTTGAATTCATCGGGTTGCTGCTCAGACGGGCGGTCGCTCGTATTGAAGCATGTCCTTGTCTCTCGCCCCAGGGTTGCATTGAATGTGTTTGCGATGAGAGATGCAAGGACATGAATACGGTCATGAGCAAGGCAGGGGCGGGTGTCATTCTTCGATGTTTACTGGGATGGGAAGTTGACGTTGATGCACTTCCCTGGGGCGAGGATGTTGAGGTTGTAGATCCAGGTACGGCTGGCAGCCGTGAGTTGGCTGGAGGGTGGGAGACAGTGGTCAAGGCCAGGGATGTTCCTTGGAAACAAGGATGCGAGCCGGCAGAGAGTGCGGACTCGTGAGTCTCTCGACGAGTATGAACAATGGGGGGAGGGAATTCACTTCGTCTTCTTCATAATGCCAATCTCACGCCACTCCCTCTACGAACCACAGCTTTTCCGGTTGTCTCTAGCATTTTACTTGTTTTTGCACTAGACTTCGACTCCTTGGTCCTGAGCCTAGGCTTAGCCAAATCGAGTGGTTAAATCACGTACTTCTAGGCGCCCTTGATTTCCAAGAGAGTGTAAAGCCCAGGCTCATACGGACAGGCTGAGGCCCGGATCTTCGCGACAGGGAAATGTAAGAGCATCGAGCGAACATCAGCAAATACAAACAGGGCACCTCCATCGAATCGAATACTCTCCTCGCGAGGCTCTCTTGAGCAAGGGACAAGATCCATCAGCTTCGTTTTGACGCCGGCTTTTCACTGTAACCTCAAAGCCGCTGAGTTGTAGAGTTGCCCGGTTTGCTGGATTATCACATTAACTTCCTTAGTTTAGGTGGTCTGTGCGCGTGGGTACAGTGGAACGAGATATATTCTTGGACCCGGGTGTGCTCGTTCATAGAAAGCCACGTAACAGAATAGTTGAAAGTGATATGATCGAATCTATTCAAGAGACTATATTTCCGAGCGTTGTTTCCATATCTACTGGAGAGATTGACAGCGCACCGAGTCATCGAAATTGACCCGTGAACCCTACGTGACAAACGACCTGACTTGCATTAGGTACGTAGTAGTCATGCAACTTCAGTCCCGCGGGCTGACAACCACCGGATTGACCACTGACAACTTCCACCGAAAAAGCACGTGATGTAAGATGGCTTACTAAGGTCGACCTAGTCTTGCTGTATATGTAGCAGGATAAATTTCTAATCTGCAACAAGAAACCGGGTTCCATAACTCAGTTGGTTAGAGTGTGGTGCTAATACAGATCGAGCAAACATCTGGAAACGCCAAAGTCGAGGGTTCGACCCCCTCTGGGACCATTCATTTTGTCATTTTTGTTTTTGTTTTCGGTCTGATCCTTCCTTAGAAGCGACCAACTTCTTTTACCTGTACAGTTGTACACACAGTGACACTACACACCGCACACTCACAGTAGCAGTAATTGCATAAAGATATAGGCATCCACCAAAACCTCTTAGCTTTTACTACATCATTACCTGTTTGAACAAGTCTAGGATGAGAGGGTTGTGAACTTACGACTGTCTGAGCGCTTGAATCCACGGTCGGCAATGTTGCGACCGTGCCGCTGGCAGGTCAGGTGATTCCCGGGAGGTCATAGTATATAGTCAGGTGACCAGGACATATATCAAATGCGCCAAGCAATTAGCGTCTTTGATTGGTAGTGCTTAGCTGCTAAAGCCGCAATCGCATTGACGATATTCTGATCAATATGCCTTTGTGACGTGCAGGTTGAGCCTTTTACTTTCTCCTTCCCTGCCTGTATGAAAAAAGAAAAGAAAAAGGAAAAAGAAATCAACCAACATGTTCCTTCCTTCTCCCCTACCACCATCACCATAATTGATTCAATCAATATCAATTCCTCAAAGCATAATCAACATCAATCCAGCTATCCTCCCCAAGACTAACCATCACTCGCCAAGTATCCCCCACAATCTGTCTCGTCACCTCGCTGAGAACCTCCCCCTCATCCCTCTCTCTCAGCGCAACCTCTATCTCCCTCAACTTGCGCTTCAGAAGCACGCATTGCTCCAGCACACGATGGATATGGCCCCGCGAAGACCCGGTCACGGGCCGAGTCTTGTCCGCGTAGTCTTTCATGCAGGAGCTCACTCCGATAGAGAACTTGCGGGCAAGAATCTGCTTGTCTAGGTTGGAGGTTGGGGGTGAAGAAGAAGGGGGTGATGGATCGGGGGATTCCCAGGTTTTGAGGATATCGGTGGTCGCTTGGAGAAATTGCTGGAGGGTGGGTTTGTCTGAGGTTTGTTGTTGTGGTTGGGACTGGGGTTGCGGTTGCGTTCGTGGTTGCGTTTGCTGGATGGTCTGTGGGGGTATAGATTGGGGTTCTCTCTGCGTCTGCTGGGGGGAGGAGGAAATTGAGCCAGTATCTGGGGTTGGAGGGTTAGGTTCTGCCGTTGAGGGTTGTTTTGGTGGGAGGCTGCCCTGTGCCGGTCTATGCGAACGCTGTTCTTCAGCGCGATTATTGTTTCTTGGGGGAGAGGGTGCGGTGGCTCTGAGAACGTCGATGAGATAGTCCCTGTCCGAGGGAGATAGGTTCTCGAACGAGGAAGGGACTTTTTTCTTCCATCTTGGAATGAGACTTGGCATTGTGATTGCAGGGCTTGTACTGAGGCCCACTCGGATAATTCAAGTTGGAAAGCTGGACCGAGAGAGAGCGAGAGAGAGAGAGCCGCAGCAGTGGAAGTGCGATGAGCTTCAGCAATGTTAGGTTGCATTGCCTCCTGGAACTCCCAAGGAGGCGAGCGTTATTTCTACCTTTCTACCGCAGAGAATTTAGTAGTAGAAGATCGAGTGCCCGTCAACGGACCGGCATTGGAGGCTATTCAAAGCACTGGACCATACCACGCTGCCATTGTTTCTTTCCAAAGGGACAGTCAGATCAAAGAATGTCCGCTGGTCTTTCAAGATGCAAAAGAAGTGCCAGTTCAGTTGTATCTTTGAATGAGCTCCCGTCAGACTGAGTATATGCAGGCGCCAGCTGGGGTTTGCCACCGCTCAAAGGGCGGCTTTGTTTGATAGGATTTGATTTGTTTGTTGGTCTGTGTAAGCGAAGAGTCCAGATCAGGTTCAGTTTCTGGGGCGTCGACGGGTGGTCACTGCAATGCTGTCACGGGTGTTGTGTAATCTTGAGCGTTAGTTATCGGGCAACTCCCTTGTTCAATGTAAAAAGGGTTGGGTTACAAGCCAAGTGGATATAAACTGCAGAAGCCAAATAATGCAGAACATAGAGATGGAACGATGTCCTCGATATCATATTTAACAAACAGACGTTGTATATTGTGACCATCTATGTATGTTCCAATCGTCAACTCTATGATATCACGTACATTTTTCTTTACTCTTTATTCTCGTGGAAGGGAGGGACTCAATGCATGCCAGTCAGATGGAAGAAAGCCGTAGAAAGTAAAGGGTATATGGAAATTTTGGCGTGCGGCATACACATCAAGTCGTAAATGATAATATATTAGTTCTCGGGCCTGTGCATCGCCGTCTTCCAGCACATCAGACGAAAGACACCGCCCAGCGAGAAAAGAGGTTGAGAGTCTGGGGCCGGAGGATAAACTGCGAGGCGATCAGATGAATGCCTGGAACTGTGGCGATTCTATACTCGAGTCTGCCAAACAGGGCTATTCGTACGTGAGCGTTGTAGGAGGCTCTCACGCACTCGATCAAATGTCGCCGGTATTGGCGCGGGGCCCCTAAAGTTTGACACGCCAGGGCTTTTTAGGGGTAGAGTACTGTGGGTGTCAAGGAAGAGACACGCGGCCCCTTTGCCACTCTGCCGGAGCCACGGGGTGCCGTTGAGAAGGCATGGATAGGTGACCTAGCTCGAAGAGGCGCTCGCTGAGGGCCCTGCGACATGACTAGAGGTCGTTGATGATCCCTTTCAAAGCATCAAAGTTCCCTAGGTATGGCTGTGATGACTGCTGGACGGACTTTGCTCGTCCTCCGGATCATCGACGCTGAGTTTCCAGAAAAGCGACTTCATATCCCGCACATTCTCACGGAAGCCATCCAGTGGCTCATCCTTTTTCTCCTCCGAGAGCGTTCGCACTGCACGGATGATGTCGGTGAAGCCCTCGTCGTGGGGGAGCCACCAGTGGTTGACTTCGGGGAGTTGCCAAATCGCAGCCAGGACAGCGCGGAACTTGGGAGCAATGATGTATCTGCGTAAGACATGCCATTAATGAGCCTTTGACTGATCATACAATCGTGACGTGCACTAGCAGTGCCTTTCAAAGGGCCGACTCACCCATTCTGCTCCATCACGGCCATCTTGCGCCTCGACCACATCTGAAATTTTCCGTCTTTCGGCAGGAACATGCTCGAAATACCGATACTATTCTTAAAGTTCATGAAGTAGCCATTGCCTCTCTGCGGGTATCGCGAGATGGTCTCGATGAGCTGGCATTGTTGCAAAGCCAATGACTGCAACTCTGGAAGGAGAGGCAATTTCAGCGAGAGCATTGACTGGTATTTGAACATCAGTTCAGTGGAAAGGAGATCGATCTTGAAGAAATTGGCTTCCCACAAGGAACCTTGCCAGATGCAGCCCGGTTCGTATGGGTCCACAACATCATCGTCCGTCAAGGGCAGCGGTTCCGGATAGGAGCGAACTTTCTCTTCACTGTCCTCGTATTGATGGAGAATTGCCTTTGCTCGCTCCATCGTCAGCCCAAGCTGTTCGTTTTGAACAACAAAGTCGTCCAGCGGAATCAGCCCCCGGGAAAGCTTGGCGTAGAGAGAAGCCATCTCCAGCCCGAAGCGGCGATTGATCGAAGCGACGTAGGCAAGCTGCTTGTTTGGATCATCGGGGTAGAGGGCGGCTTGTTGGGCATCGTATTGCTCCTTGGCGATATACCAGTCACGGCTCAGAATGGTCTCCGTGCCCGCTAGAATGCCGGCCACCACATCAAATCGAGCGTACCACAGGAAGATGTTGGTGTGCAGGTCGATCATGTTGGAGGAGTCCGGAGTGAGCAACTCGCGCATCAGGGCATGCGCGGCTTGATGATGATCGACCAGATTGGCCCAGTCTCCGATATATTCCTATCCATCGCGAACCGGTCCAGCGTCAGTCAACAGCGTAGAAAAGGTATCTTGATGCGTGTCCAAAGGGGAAGGCCGCTCCGTACCTCGAAAGTTGTGAGAACGAGGACAGTACACAGCGTTGCCTCTGTGTGGTCCTCGCCCGCCTCCAGCGACTTCCGTAACAAAACCAGCGCCTTATTATAGTACTTCAAGAATGTGTAGAGCTTCCCGCCACTCTGCAGGGTGTGATGGTAGGCCGCGAACCCGACCAGAGCATACAGCAGCGGATCATAACCCAACGCCAGTTCGAGGATGCTATGATGGATGAAATGAGCGCTGGTCGATCGCAGAAAGAAATGGTCGTAGGAGAGATGCTGCTGGTGAAAGTCCAGATAGAAGCGGACATCCTCAGCTAGGCGACTGTTGTTGATCAAGTCGAGGATCGAATGACTGAAACTGCCCGACCGAACACTCATAGACTCGTACCGGGACGATTCCGTGGATGGAGAGCTACCGGCCTCGACCTGCGACGAACCTGCCTCGGATAGCTGCTTCACACTCCGTTTCCGTAAGGAGTGGCCGCTCTGAGTGCGATGGAGCTGCTGCCGTGGGTGACCAGCACCACTGCCACTCCTTGGTGATGCCTCCGAGCCCATATCCGTTCCTTCCGGTTCTTCTTCATCAAGGATTGGTTCGAGCGGGTTCATTTCCTCGGTGTCGTGCTTGCTGGAGGACTCGCTGCCCTGCGACAGAGGGCGTGTGCCCCGTGATTTTGCGGACGAGCGAGATCCCTTGCTGGTCGATGCTGTCGGCGATGGGTAGACGCAGTCCCGATTGCCCTTGCGACAGCGTTCACAGACGGGTCGCGCCTCGTCGCATTTGATGCGACGCGCACGACATGTGAAGCAGCCACTGCGGGTGCGCTTGTGTTTCTTCTGGTCTCCGGTGGGCTGGAGGTGTGCTGATTGCTTGGGTGGATATGACGGAGCGGCAAGGCCGATGGGCGGCACCGTCGCGGTTGGATCGTGCCAGAATGCGACGCTCTCGGGATACTGACCGAATAGACTGTAGGCGGACATTGAACTATCTTGGTGCATTGAATCAAGAAAGCCGGCCAGGGCCGCTTGGGGCTGTTGATAGGATTGCGTCATGACGAGGAAAGGGTCTGTTTGGGGGGTTAATGCGGATGCGATTGAGGGAGCACACGTAGATTATTGGCCGATCTAAATCCACGAGGGAAGATGGGTTG